GTCCATCTAGGATTAACCCTGCCTGCTGTAAACATAGCAGTTTCAGAGAGTTGATTTTCACAGTGAGAAGATGCCAGCGTCCATAGGAAAGCATTGAGAATGCTCTTGCTGCGCATGCGGATTCAGCCGATGACGGGAGAAAAAGGAGGAGATTCCCCAGCACAGAGGAGCTGGAAAAAGTTAGGAATTTAACCCCTTCCTCACCCTAGAGCCCGGCGGGAGGGGGACCCAGAGTGTGAGGGGGACCCAAGGACCCTATAGAGCCAGGAAATGTTTTCCTGGCACTATAGTGGTCCTTTAAGTTTTGTTATCTTATAAAATAAAAGAAAGAAAGAAGGAAAATAAGTAAAGGAAGGAAAAGGAGACCCTTGATTTATTATTGAATATAGGGAAGGTAAAGAAGAAGAAGGCAGGAAAAGTAGCAAAAAAAGGGGACATTTCTTTTTATGGTGACACGTAATAAAAATTGGCAGCTAATACAGCGTTGTTTTGGGTGTTTGTAATTAAAGGGAAAAGAGGGGGAGAAAAAAGCACTGTGTGGAGTGCAGATCAAAACGTGGTAAGCGTAAAAGTAGTTGTTAAATTGTGCAACAAATTTAGAACCAATGTCTGAAAAAAAAGAAATATGCTCGTGGCTATTTACCAGAGTATCTGAAGACACTTGCGCTAAAAAGTTTCAGTTACTGCACATGGGTGGTAAGGAAATGTTACCATCAAGAAAGATGCATTAGTGGGCAGTAGGTATAAAAAGGTTGACTACCCCTGATCTAAATGGTCCCTTTACAGGAAGTGTGCTGACATCACATGCCAAACAGGTTACCCTTCAGGGTCATAATCATCATCACCGTAGTCTGATAAGAAAATGGGGCTAGAGTACTTATCGGGGAGATAGTTGAACTCATTATATTGTTATTATGTTAAATTAATACATTAAAGAATTGTATTGTTTGCAAATGTATATGTTTTATGCTAAATAAAATAGCAAAAGTTCAGGAACAAATCATGCTGAGAATAACTGATCAACGGTGTAATGAGATAAGAAAGTGATGAATAGTGTAATGAGATAAGAAAGTGTAAGATGTCTGAGAGAGTGTGCATATATGCATAAATAATTTACACTTGCCAACATTTCCTGCCCACCTTCTGGGACATAGATGAGCAAGGAAGAGAGCTGGTGTGTGGGGGGCATAGCCCGCTAGTCAAAGGGGGCTTTTGCTTAGGAGGGTGGCCAGGCTGACTTTCTGTAGATCTTTCTGTAGATTTCAAAATGTGGGACAAGTCCTCAGGACTGTTGGCACCTATAATTCTTAAAGGAGCGTACATGTACGTGTAAATAAGTGTTTGTGTGTTTTTGTACATGCATATGGGAGTGTGCAATATGTATGTGTAAATAACTAATGAATATTTGTAATAGTGTTTTTTTTTAAGTGTGTAAGAGGGTATGTATGTGTATGATAATATGTATGTGTAGGGGAATGTTTGTAATATTGATTGTGTTCATACATTTGCATGTGTAGGAGAGAGTATATGTTTATGTATGGGAATGTTTGCGTTTGTTTCACGTATTGTGTGTGTGAGTGTATCATTATGGGGCAAATATAGGTCCTGGGACCTGTCCCACAGGCATTCAGTGCATGGTCTGTTTGAGGGTGCAGTCAGCCTAGCCACCCCATTGATTGGCAGATATGCCTCCTTTGATGAACATATCTACCCCCTTTAACAGGAGGACCTACCCCATGCCCACTCTCTTCCCTGACCACCTCCGTCCTCGAAGGTAGGCTGGGATTGTTGGCAGGTGTGGACTGTATAAATGCATAAGGAAGATAAAAGTGTGTGAGGAAGGGTTTGCATGTATGCATACTGGTGCCATAAATGCATTTGCATGTTTAAAGAATTGTTTGCATGTGCGATGGATATACACAGATCACCCACAACATTAAAACCATTGACAGTTGAAGGGAATAACACTATATATATTGTTATAAAAGTAGGGCAAAGAGTGTTTGCGCTTCTCACAAGAAGGAAAAATACATGTGGTGAATTATAGGGTGCGTCCCCTATATTGTTACAATGGCATCTGTCAAGGGTGGGATAAATTAGGCAGTAAGTGAACAGTCAGTTCTTGAATTTCATGTGTTGGAAGCTGGAAAAATCGAGAAGCAAAAAGATTGTGACTACAATCAAATAGTGATGTCTATACAACTTTGTCAGAACATCTCCAATACGGCAGGTCTTGGGGAAAGTTCCTGGTATGCAGTGGTTGGTACCTACCAAAAGTGATGCAAGGGAGGACAACCGGTGAACCGACATCAGAGAAATGGTCACCCAAGAATCACTGATGCACATTGGGAGTGAAGAAGAGTTACTGTAGCTCACATTGCTGAAAAACATAATTCTGGCCATGATAGAAAGGTGTCAGAACACACAGTGCATCACTGTTTGCTCAGGTGGATGGCCAATTGCATGTGCTCTGTTTACCCAGGCAGGAGATGGCAGCTGGATGCACTATGGGAAGCAGGCAGTTCGATGGAGGCAGTCCTCTGGGAAATGTTCTGCTTGGAATCCTGGGGTCCTGTGAATGTTAATATGACACGATCCCCCTACCCAGAGATTGCTGCAGACCACGCATATTTCTTCATGGCAATGGTGTTCCCTGATGGCAGTGGCCTCTTTCAGCAGTATAATGCACCCTGCCACACTGCAAAAATTGTCCAGGAATGGTTTGAGGAACATGTCAGAGAGTTTAAGGTGTTGCCTTGGTCTCCGAATTCCCAGATCTCAATCTGATGGGATATGCTGGAACAACAAATCTGCTCCTTGGAGGCCCCACCTTGCAACTTGCAGAATTTGAAACATCTGCTGCTAATGTGTATATATATATATATATATATATAATACTAAAATATATATTTTTTAAATATATATTTTTCATTTTAAAAGTTTATCGAAAAATGTTAAATCATTTGGAAAGCTTATCCAACAATACAGGGAGTGCAGAATTATTAGGCAAGTTGTATTTTTGAGGATTAATTTTATTATTGAACAACAACCATGTTCTCAATGAACCCAAAAACTCATTAATATCAAAGCTGAATATTTTTGGAAGTAGTTTTTAGTTTGTTTTTAGTTATAGCTATGTTAGGGGGATATCTGTGTGTGCAGGTGACTATTACTGTGCATAATTATTAGGCAACTTAACAAAAACAAATATATACCCATTTCAATTATTTATTATTACCAGTGAAACCATTATAACATCTCAACATTCACAAATATACATTTCTGACATTCAAAAACAAAACAAAAACAAATCAGTGACCAATATAGCCACCTTTCTTTGCAAGGACACTCAAAAGCCTGCCATCCATGGATTCTGTCAGTGTTTTCATCTGTTCACCATCAACATTGCGTGCAGCAGCAACCACAGCCTCCCAGACACTGTTCAGAGAGGTGTACTGTTTTTCCCTCCTTGTAAATCTCACATTTGATGATGGACCACAGGTTCTCAATGGGGTTGAGATCAGGTGAACAAGTAGGCCATGTCATTAGATTTTCTTCTTTTATACCCTTTCTTGCCAGCCACGCTGTGGAGTACTTGGACGCGTGTGATGGAGCATTGTCCTGCATGAAAATCATGTTTTTCTTGAAGGATGCAGACTTCTTCCTGTACCACTGCTTGAAGAAGGTGTCTTCAAGGAACTGGCAGTAGGACTGGGAGTTGAGCTTGACTCCATCCTCAACCCGAAAAGGCCCACAAGCTCATCTTTGATGATACCAGCCCAAACCAGTACTCCACCTCCACCTTGCTGGCGTCTGAGTCGGACTGGAGCTCTCTGCCCTTTACCAATCCAGCCACGGGCCCATCCATCTGGCCCATCAAGACTCACTCTCATTTCACCAGTCCATAAAACCTTAGAAAAATCAGTCTTGAGATATTTCTTGGCCCAGTCTTGACATTTCAGCTTGTGTGTCCTGTTCAGTGGTGGTCGTCTTTCAGCCTTTCTTACCTTGGCCATGTCTCTGAGTATTGCACACCTTGTGCTTTTGGGCACTCCAGTGATGTTGCAGCTCTGAAATATGGCCAGACTGGTGGCAAGTGGCATCGTGGCAGCTGCACGCTTGACTTTTCTCAGTTCATGGGCAGTTATTTTGCACCTTGGTTTTTCCACATGCTTCTTGCGACCCTGTTGACTATTTTGAATGAAACGCTTGATTGTTCGATGATCACGCTTCAGAAGCTTTGCAATTTTAAGAGTGCTGCATCCCTCTGCAAGATATCTCACTATTTTGACTTTTCTGAGCCTGTCAAGTCCTTCTTTTGACCCATTTTGCCAAAGGAAAGGAAGTTGCCTAATAATTATGCACACTTGATATAGGGTGTTGATGTCAATAGACCACACCCCTTCTCATTACAGAGATGCACATCACCTAATATGCTTAATTGGTAGTAGGCTTTCGAGCCCATACAGCTTGGAGTAAGACAACATGCATAAAGAGGATGATGTGGTCAAAATACTCATTTGCCTAATAATTCTGCACTCCCTGTATAAAATTTTGGCCTAAGGACTAAGGATTTAATATTGACCCATATGTAATAAGCTTGAATGATTCAATACTGTTTGAAAAACATTTTTTAATTTATTCATCTACCGAAATTCCCATAGACTTTAATGGTGACTTCTGTAGATATATCACTTGGAAACTTTTCTAACAGTATTGAATCATTTGTATGTGCAAGAGTAAAACACTGAGACTTCTGGGGGATTCTGCAAGAGCACAAGAGCCTCCAAAAATACTGCCTTTTATCAAGTTTGTCAAATGGACTAAAAATACCTAAGGCAAAATAGTTCCTACTTAGTCTTATGGATTTTAGGAGAAAACGATTAAAAAGAAAAACAGATTAGGAATGAGGAAGAGAAAAGGAGCAGACTGAAACAAGGTAAGCATGGGTTGACAAAGCCGCTTTAAGCAGAACATGTCACTTTGTCACAGATGTTTCAAATAGAAAAATGGTCCAGTTCTCCTCCAAATGTACAGGCACAGGCACATACAACGGCACAGCTACAGCGACACACACAATTGGAGACACACACAGGAAGACTGTCACACACAGACAGAAAGTCACACACACAGGCAGGCAGTCACACAGACAGTAACGCACACAGAGACACACGCAGATAGACACACACACAGGGAGGCAGTTACACAGACAGACAGTCACACACACATAGACAGTCACACACAGGCAGGCAGACAGTCACAAACACAGGCAGTCACCCAGACAGACAGTCACACAGGCAGGCAGACAGTCACACACACACAGGCAGGCAGGCAGTCCCACACACAACCACACACACACACACACACACACACACACACACACACAGGCAGGCACACAGACAGGCAGTCACACAAACAGGCAAACAGTCACACACAGACAGACAGTCACACACACAGGCAGGCAGTCACACAGACAGACAGTCACACACACACACAGGCAGACACACACACAGACAGTCACACAGACAGTCACACACACAGACACAGGCAGGCAGACACACAGACAGACAGTCACACACACAGCCAGGCAAACAGTCACACACACACGCACAGGCAGGCAGGCAGTCAAACAGTCACACACACACACAGACAAACAAACAGTCACACACACACACACAGACAGACACACTTACCTCCTTCCATTATGGCCGGAAGGGGGAGTGGATGCAGTTGGTTGTTGGAGAAGCAGGGACTCCTTCCTTCTTCGGGCTTTGGGAAGGTATTAGCCCCGCCTCGGCATCATGATAAGCCCCGCCCATCATTAAGCCCCGCCCCGTTTATTTTTCTTTTTTTCTTTCATAGATCCGGGTGGAGAATAATGAAATCCTCCACCCAGGTACCTGTTTTAGCTTCCCTGCACTCCTGTCACCCAGCCATGTGTGAGCTGTGTCGGCCACATGGCGCCCCCTGGTCCATGGCACCCTCTGCGGCCT